TGGCACTTTGAACTTAGACTTAAAGCCTCCAAATTGTAAGAACAAACTCCTGTTTGTTTAAGCCATCCCATTTGTGGTATATTCTTGTCAGAGTGGCACTAGGGAACCAGAACAAAAACCTTTCCAAGTATCTTACAGGAAGCTCCTTCCTTTCCTTTACCCTATGCTCCCAGACCCAGGTGCAGCTTCAGGAACATGTGACCCCCTCACCTCATGTCCTAACCTCAGATAACCTACCTAGACCTCAATCCAGGTAATCAAATACAGTCAGGACTGAAAGATCCAAATATGGTCATCACACTGACACCTGACCTTCAAAATTTGAAGCCTTGGGATAAGCCAGCCCCTAGGGACAAGAACAAGAGTGGAGTGCCTGCCTAAGTCATCAGCCTCCTGGTGTTTATTGTCAGGTCTCCAGAGGTTACTAATATATTTAAACACCTGTCAAAAACACATACAAATTATCTTAAGTTCTGATGAAACATAATTTTATGTAATGCTATGACATGGATGACGCTGAAAGATATTATACTGGGTAAAATAAGTCAGGCACAAAAAAAAAAAAATATTGTATGATCCAACTTATATGAAATATTTAGAATAGACAAATGAATAGAGACCAAAGTTTATCAGTGATTACCAAGGGCAAGTGGGAGAGGGAAAAATAGTAAGTCAGTGCTTAAGGGACACTGAGTTTCTGCTAAAAATAATGAAAAATTTGGAAACAGTGATGATGGTTTCACAACATGATGAATGTAATAGTCTTTGAACTGAACATAAAAAAACTGGTTGGAATGTTTTGTTACATGTATTTTATCACAATTTTTAAAATGGTTGAAATGGCAAATTTTTTGTTATACTACATATTTTACAACAATGTATAAAACCCGAAAGACCAAGGACAGAGTGAGTGGGGACTTTTTCCCATTTAATTCCTAGGGAACAAAACACTGAAATATAACCTTCAAGGGAAAAATCACCAGGTGTGCGAGTGCTATAAAATTCTGTAAGCTGGGCTTGTTTTTGAGTGCTAAGGATTGCTATTAAATTGCAGTATTAGTATGGAAACACTGAAGAAAGACCCAAGGTTATAGTCGGAGTAGGTGAGGTATATAGAACATATCAGAGCATATCGCCACCAGAGCTCCTTATAGAACATATGTTGTTGTTGTTGCTGTGTGCCATTGAGTCGGACCCAACCCATAGTGACCCCTCCTTGGGTTTCTGAGGAAGTATCACTACAGAAGTAGATTGCCCAACCTTCCTTCCAAGGAGTGGCTGGTGGGTTTGAACCGCCAGCCTTCTGGTTAGCATTCAACATATGTTGTTGTTATGTACCGTCGAGTCAGACCCGACTCATAGTGACCCCTCCTTGGGTTTCCGAGGCAGTATCATTATGGAAGTAGATTGCCCCATCTTCCTTCCGAGGAGTGGCTGGAGGGTTTGAACCACCAGCCTTCTGGTCAGCAGTCAAGTGCCTTAGGCACTATGTTATCAGAGCTCCCATTCAACATATAGATACAGTGAAAACTGTGTGAGCTGGAATTTGACAGCATTGACTTGCTTTTCCAGGTCTTGCAAGTTTTCCATTTTTGACAGGGTGCAGTCTTATCACTTTTCTATCACCCTCT